AAAAAATATATTTTTTTAATCATGTATTTACGATATCATAATTTATAACCTAATCGGCATTCGAAATATTCAAAAATTCGTAGTAATATTGGTTATAAAAGATAAGTATGCTGATTTTAATTTATGATAATTACTAGTATTACTATAGTATTACTATAATATTGTAACAAAATAATAGATAACAACAAGAATATAATTATTTACTTACTTTGTACTCCCATTATCCGAATACTCTAATATATAGATGTTCTATTATTCGAATATTCTGTTATCCGCACAATCGTTTCGTAACGATGTTTACATACAACATAATTAAATTACAACATAAATACAATGTATTTAGATATAATAAATACTTTCCTGTATTCAATCGATTAAATGTAATCATATCAATTCAATCTGAAGTAGACAACGGTATCGCAATGGCAAGTAAACGAAAACGTGTTTTAACTATTGAAAAGAAATACAAAATAATTAAAGATCTTAAAAGTGGTGAAAGTGCAACAAAATTATCAAGAGTACATAGTATTGGGAAATCTACAATTGTAGATATTAAAAAACAGAAATGCAATATTGCAAAATATATACAGAATATAGATTTAACGGATGCTAGTATCGATAGGAAAAGCTTAACAAATCTAAAAAATAAAAATATAGATGATGTCTTCCAATGGTTTCGTCAACAAAGAGACAAAGGCATATCGATATATGGACACATGTTACGTGAAAAAACTTATATAGAATTCAATGATAGATTAAAGGGAAACCCTTTAAGGGATAGATTTAAAGCTTGTAATGATTGGTTAATAAAATTCAAAACATGTCATGGTATACGACAGCTGGATATCTGTAGAAAAAAACTTTCAACGAATAGTACTGCTGCAGAAACTTTTAGAGCAGACTTTAATAAATTTTTAAATAATGAAGAATATAAATTAACAAATGTATATAATACTGATGAAACAGCTTTAATTTGGAAGGCACTACCACAGACGTTAGTTTCTCATTATGAAAGATTAACTCCTGATCGCAAAATTAATAAAGAATGCATTACTATACTTTTTTGTGCAAATGCTATCGGATGCCATCAACTTTCAATTCTGATCATCGGAAAAAGTAAACATCCACACTATTTTAAACATGTCAATATGAGTGCAATGCCAGTTGTTTATAAAAATCAAACAAATTGGATGGATAATATTTTTGTTGAATGGTTTGAAAATATTTTTATACCAAAGATTAAAGAACATCAGTTAAAAAATAGTCATAAAAAAAGAGCTATTTTGCTGGTAGACAATGCTAGATATAACATTCCTAACCAGAAGGAGGAATTTACAAAATATATGTTTTTGCTACCTAATATAACTTCACTCATGCAGTCATTAGATCAAGGAGTAATTGAGTGTTTCAAACAACTATATAGAAAAAAATTGCTTAAAAAATTTCTATTTATATTTCATTTGAATGAAGAGAATATGATAGAGAAATATAAAAAACTATATTTAAAAAATTGCTTCTACATAGTGACAAATGAGTGGAGCAACATTAAAAGTATAACATTGAAAAGAGCATGGAAAAAACTTTTGATGCGTGAAATTGAAGAAATTAATAAACAAGAAAAAACAGTCGAAGCAAATATTGAAGAAATTGTCACTACATTGGATAGAATACCAGAGTGTGATAGCGATGATGTAATGCAATGGTTTCAATGCGATAAAGACAACAGTAATAATGAAGATAACATAAATTTTACACAAACAGAAGCGGTAAACGAAAGTAATGATGAAGATATGTCTTCTTATATCGAAGTATTTGAGTCATTTGAAAAAGGACTTCGATGGTTTGAGGCGCAACGGGAATGTAATTCTACACAGTTGGTTACAATAAAAAATTTCTATTGTACAAAAGATTAGAACTGAATAAAATAAGAGTAAGAAAAATAAAAATAATGAAACGTAAAATATATAGATGGTGTCATATTAAGCTTAAGAATTGATTTTTCTTGTATTCTTTTGTGTTATTATTTTTATTGTATTTTCTTCTATGATATTCTTTTATTTGTTGAATATTTTCTCCTATATTAGTAATTATAAGATATTAGTAATTATAGATCTGCTATATTGATATATATCAGCATGTGAATTAAATCAACAATTGTATTATGGTTTTAAAATTCTCTGCTATAATTTCTACAAAATCTTCTGTAATCTTTGTTTTTTTGTATCTTTTTTTGAGTTATTCAATAAGATAAAATTTATAATTTTTGAATTATATACAAATTTATGGATAAAAACATATGATGAATAATTAATAATTTAAAATAAAATTCAATTATTTCTTTTCCGTAATTAGAAAATCATTATTTATATCAATTTCATTTAAAATTATACACATATAAAACAATAAAAAATCGATTTATTAATTTTTATCGATTTCTATGATTTTTGTAGATATGCCTGGATCAGAGAAAAATCTTATTATGTTTCTTTCATTTGTTTCCACTTCTTTATTTTATATGTTCAATTAAATCTAATTGACTTTTATTCATTATTTCTTTTTTTTTTTTCTCTTTGTAATTTATTTTTGTTTTTTAATATCCAATTTGTATGATATAAAATTGATATTTGAAATATCTAATCCACATATGTAATATCGTTGAATTATCATAATGATTATAGATTATATATATAGGTTATATATAGGTTTAAGATAATATAATAGAACGATACCTATACTTAGCAACGATTCTTTTTTTATTTTATTTTTACATATGACCACTCGTGGCGTTGAAATCGCTTTCTAATTAAATTTAGGCGGGAGAATCATGCATCTACAAATAATAATTCAAATTGAATTGAATTGAACATGTAGAAATATCTATATTTTCTAAGGCTTTTTTTATGTTTATTTAATTTTCAATGATTACATACATAGCATTTTTGAAATAGTAGTTTCAGTAAACTATTATAATTTTTTGTATCCATTATTGCAAATTATGATTTATTATTTTGTCTGGTTTTAATTACATATAATTAGAATTCATTCTTTAAATTGATTTAATCTTTTGATTATCAAAGTATTAGTTTATATGATAGCTCTAGAAAAAATATGTTATTGTAACGATATCATAAAAACTAGAAAGAAAATTAAAAACTTTAGAAAGATCTAGACTCGGGAGGGAGGAGGGGATATACTGAGCTTGTTTAATTGTAAATTAAATTATAAATTATTTAATAAATTAAATAATATTTAATATTTCCAATGTATGATTTAAAAGCATATTTTAAATATATTTAAATTTTGTATACTATATCAATATGTTCAATATGAATAGAAATGTTTTGTTTCATCAAAATTTGAGTCCTCCTAGTTAAAAAATCATTGAATATAAAAAATTATATGATTTCATTGATATTCAATTTCTAAAAAAAATATAATTTTCTTTTTTAAATCATTTTCAATTCATTTTCAATATGTTTTTCTATTCTTTTATAATATAATCAAATATATATATATATATATATATATAAAGCATTTCAATCAAATTTATCAAAGTTGTCAATCAAATTTCTATTGCTTCTAATAATTACATGTATAATATATTTGCATATTTATTATATATCTAGTTTCTTTATATTCTTATTAGAATTTTGTTTACTAGAGTTAACCTCTTTTTATTTTTGCTAAAATTAAACTTTAACTGAAATAAACTTTGTAAATAATCTGTTATTCGTTCGAAATATTTCGCCTGCCTCATCATATATAGTGAGTGACTATGAAAAAAATAACTATGAAATAAATAACTATGAAATAAATAACTATGAAATAAAAATATTTTTCTATTCAGCGAATATAATTTATTTTATATCATGAGATGATTGTGTCAATGATTAAAAACAATTTCGCATTGTTATTTTTCAACGATTTTTTTTTATTTTCTATGATATTCGAATATTTATACTAAATTTTATAAAAAATAATTTTTAATTTATTCAGAAATTATTAAAAAACAAAAGAATTTTGTAATTGAAATTTATAAAATCTCTATATCGATTTTGACTAAATAATGATTTTTTGTAGAATTTGATTATTTATATTAATATGTTTATATATATTATATGTTTATGAAAAGAAAAAGCAATATTATCTGAACAGTGATTGATTTATAAAGCGACTCGAATTTAACTCTCTTAATTTTATCAATTTATTAATAATAATTTATAAGTAGATTTCCTTACATTATTCGAAAACTCAAACATAATCACTAAAATAGCAATAATTACTTCATAAATCATATCTGTATCAAATGCCTTATAACCGATTATTAGAGATTTCAAAAGTCATCAAGTATCTTATATATTTCGACATATCTCTTCAGAATTCATCTTTAAAAATCGTTTTCTAATACGATAATTATTTCTCTGCTTAGCTTTACTAGATAAAAATTGGAAGAGAGAATTATGATCTATGACAGTTTCAAGATAAACTTTTTGTAAATAAACAGTCTTTCACATAGTCTTTTGAGTATTAATTTAGATCATTTTTCATGCGAATTTATATTCAAACATTATCTATGCGAGTGAATTGAAACATGAAAATATTGAAAAATATATGTTTGTATGTTGGATTTATAATAGCAATGAACTATTTATTATTTTTGAAAAATTTTTCGCTAATTTTTAACCGAAATAAATTTTGTGAATAACCTGTTATTCGTTCAAAATATTTCGTCCTCGTATATCGATACAATAATGATATAATGATGAAAATATTTTTTTTCTATTCAGCGAAATAGAAGAAATACAAATACATAGGCAGGAATTTATCGGCAGAAATCGTTAAAGTTATTTGATTGAGAAATTTCTTATTTGTTGATCAAATTCTCGTTAGCATATCATAAACATTGGCTCTTTGGATCGCAATTAATCGCCAAATTTTTTTCATCTTATTGCTTGCATTCTTCTCCCATAACTAAATCTTATTCGATTTGATGAATGATTAGGACATCACAATGATGGAAAGAGATAAGATTAATTTGTAGATCTAAAAAGAAAAAATGATAAATGTCCAAACTTTTAAAAATTTGTTAATTCGTTTAATCTCTAATTTATATAATCTAAAATAAATTTAATTCGTTCGAGTATATCAATTTCATTTTTTGAAAAATTCTTAGTCGACGTAATACTTTCTAGATATTCGAAGATATTCGAAGATATTCGTTATTATTACTTATTATTGTGAACAAAAACATTGAAAATTGAAATCATCGCTAAAGATAATTAGAAGAAGAGTTTCATTTAAAAACAATCATCTATACTGAAACATTCAAAAAGATGATAATATGGATTATATACTATTTTTTTAAATTTAATAGAAAACCAATGGAAATTGTTATTAATTCGATTTACTAAGAAAATAAATCTACTATTCTAGTTTCTTCATAAATAGAAGTCAAATTTTTTGTTTTCTATTAATCTCAGGGATTGATTGTATTTCCATACATCGATTAATATGATTAATATGATTATAGAGACTAAATTAGATTTATTATAAATTAGGAAAAGAAAAATGCTAAAAAATGCTTTAATACAACTTAGATCTAGACAAAGATAAAAAAAATTTGAATGTTTTACTAACATTTAAATGGAAAATATTTTAATGATTTCTTCTCTAATTCTTGTTCAAATTCTTTTGCAATTTTTCTAAAATTGCTAAAAATTAAAAGTGGAATTCAAAGAATAATTATATTAATTATATATTATTCATGACTATTTTATTGTATAACTTAATCTTGAATCATTCTTCCAGTATGTTCGCAACACCAAATGCTTTAAAGTAGAATTATTAAAACTAAAATTAGATGATAAATGACAATTTATCGATGACAACCAAGATTTATGTTATTACAACTCTTTATGACTTTATGACGATATATTGCCGATCTATAAATCAACTTTTAATCTTTTCCATTCTTGAAAAATATTTCTAAACTAAAATTTCTAAAAAAAAAAACTAATAATAAATATATTCTTTTAACAATCTTTAATTTAATTTGCATAACTTTATTAACATTCTAATTTTAAAATGGATTAATTGAAATCCTTAATTATAAAATATGAAAGTCAAATTGATCTTTCTTAGTTTAAAGTAAAATTTGAGAAAGAAGTAATAATTTCATATAATCTAATTTTTTGAAATAGAAATTCTTATAATAAATACTAACTGCTCATTTATAATTATAATAACAATTCAAAATAATAAAAAAATTTGTTATTATAATGTCATCTTGTGCAAAAATTGTTAAAAAAAATCAGTCTCCTACAATAACTGAAATTGAATTTCTTAATTAAACTATTGATTTTCACTGACGATTTTGATCAAATGTACTCGATTTTTGAGTTTAATATGAAACATTATTAATTGCTTCAGCTATCTAGGTTTGTTTATTCGCGATGAATAAATGCTAAAATAATTTAGATAAGATATGAATTAATATCATTCTATATAAAATGTTTCATTTTTAAAATATATAATCTAAAATATAGTCTAAAAATACAAAAATTGTAAAATCTAACAAAAAATTATAGTAAAATACATTAGTTATTGAATAGTTATTAGCAATATCTAAAGTACTATTACCACCAGTATCGAAATATATTCGTGAATTAATAAAATAATTGCTATACAAACACAAAAAAAAAGTATTAAAACCAAAATGCAAAATATTATATCATTCTTTTATTATCGCATTTAAATTTTTTTTTTAAATTAATTTTTTATAATACAATTGAATGATATGTTTTGAAATAATATTCTCAAAAGATAAATTATAAAAAAAAAGGAATATTTTAAACTATTGTAAAAGAAAATATAAGCTAAAAATAATACATACAAATTGGTTATTATAATTCAT